TTTTATTACGTATTAATATTACGTAATAAAAAGCTAGAGTCAATCTTATTTCTCAAAATATTATATAGAAAGATTTAGTCCTTCGCAGCGTGACGTTTTTCCAGTGTCACTAGTGTACAAAATAGGGTGGTTTGCACATTAACATCAACTGGTTGATGACGTTACCATCTCGAGGCCCTAAATAATTGGAAAAAAAAAGAAATTCGATTCATAATTAAAATATTAAGGGTAAGTAAAAAGTAAGTAAACAAATAAATTGTAAAGCAAAGTTTAATCAATATGAAGGATATAAATGGAATGGTTACATTTTCAACTGAAATTATAATCCTCAACTACACATTGAATACTGATTATTAAGAGTATTGAAAAAGCAGTTTAGCCACCACGGAGACGAAGCACCAAGTGCAGAGTAGATTCCTTTTGAATGTTATAGTCGGAAAGCGTACGTCCGTCTTCAAGTTGCTTTCCGGCGAAAATAAGTCGCTGCTGATCTGGGGGAATGCCTTCCTTATCTTGGATTTTAGCCTTCACATTTTCGATTGTATCAGAGGGTTCAACCTCAAGGGTGATTGTTTTCCCTGTGAGGGTTTTCACAAAGATCTGCATACCACCACGAAGGCGAAGAACAAGATGGAGTGTGGATTCCTTCTGGATGTTGTAATCAGAGAGTGTACGGCCATCCTCCAGTTGTTTGCCAGCAAAGATCAATCGCTGCTGGTCTGGGGGAATGCCCTCCTTATCTTGGATCTTTGCCTTCACATTTTCGATTGTATCAGAGGGTTCAACCTCTAGGGTAATAGTTTTACCTGTAAGGGTTTTCACGAAGATCTGCATACCACCTCGCAGGCGGAGTACAAGATGTAGGGTCGATTCTTTCTGGATGTTGTAGTCTGACAATGTGCGCCCATCTTCTAGCTGCTTGCCAGCAAAGATCAATCGCTGTTGATCTGGGGGAATACCCTCTTTGTCCTGTATTTTTGCTTTCACATTTTCAATAGTGTCAGAAGGTTCAACTTCCAGTGTAATGGTCTTGCCAGTGAGAGTTTTCACAAAGATCTGCATGCCACCACGAAGACGGAGGACGAGATGCAGCGTAGATTCCTTCTGGATATTGTAATCAGAGAGTGTACGGCCATCCTCCAGTTGTTTGCCAGCAAAGATCAATCGCTGCTGGTCTGGGGGAATTCCCTCCTTATCTTGGATCTTTGCCTTCACATTTTCGATTGTGTCAGAGGGTTCAACCTCTAGTGTAATAGTCTTGCCTGTAAGGGTTTTGACAAAGATCTGCATACCACCACGAAGACGGAGGACGAGATGCAGTGTGGATTCCTTCTGGATGTTGTAATCAGAGAGTGTACGTCCATCTTCAAGCTGCTTACCAGCAAAGATTAATCGCTGTTGGTCTGGGGGAATGCCTTCCTTATCTTGGATCTTTGCCTTCACATTTTCAATTGTGTCAGAGGGTTCAACCTCTAGGGTGATAGTTTTACCCGTTAAGGTTTTAACAAAGATCTGCATACCACCTCGCAGACGAAGTACAAGATGTAGGGTAGATTCTTTCTGTATGTTGTAGTCTGACAGTGT